GTCTACGCCAATTAAGAAGAAGAAGAAAGACTTGAATACTGCGATAATATTATCTTCTTGGTGAGTGGTTGCATAAACGAAGGTAACTATACATACCTCCCATACCAAATACATACATACCAAATTTTGCTCACTTTTCTGTTTTTTTTTTTTTGCTTTTTACTATCGGTTTTTTAATTTATACCGTATAAAAAGGTGTTTGAAATCAGTTTAAATAAAATGTTGCTTAAACGGTTTTGTATACATAAAAATTAAAACCAAAAAATGGAAACGATACAACTCATTTTGATTTCCCTTAGGGGCTTTTGGGTTATACCCATCAGAAGTGAATGTGAGTGTGAGTGTGTTGCGTTGTCTAGTTCCTCCTCTTGGGTGGATGCCAGCTGGTTATTCCGTCTCTACTTCCTCTATTTATTTTAGGTTTGATTCTTGTTTCAATTCGCGCCCGTATAATTTGTTGTAAGTGTGTTTGTTTTTATTTAGCTTTATAAGTTTAATTTTGTTCGCGCCCGTTTGGTTATTTTTATTTCCCTTTTATGATGTGAGATAAATTCTCCGATTTGTTCTTTTATGTACTAAGCACTTTATACTRCTGTCCTGACACTTTCTACTTCCACTTGATTACTTTTATTTTTTGTTTAGGTTTTCAATCACTTTATAAATATTTAGACCACACTTGATTTTAAGTTTTGAGATTTAAGTTTTCGGTCACTTTCCCATGTATGTAATATAAAAATATTTTTTTTTCACTTAGTTTCCGCAGTGCCTTCTTTTAGGCTCGAAGGACCATGTTTTACTGTATGTATCACCTTTTCCGCACTCACCATATAACTTCACCCAAATTTCTATTAAAACATTCGTTTGTACTTCAACTCAAATGGTTATCAAATTTGGAATTTTTTTTATTTTTATTTTTTCACAAAGGCATAAAATATAATTATTTCAATTCAACAAGAGGTTCGCAAGAAAAGGAAAACGTTAGAATTTATTTCTAACCATAGATATATAAACTTTTTAATTTTAGCAAGAAGTTCGCGTAAAATGTAAAAAATGTAAAATTTTCAATTTTCACAACAGCTAAAAAATATTTTTAAATCTACGAAAAATCAGCAAAAAATGTAAAAAACGTTCGCCTAATAGCCCTGACAGACGACAGCGTTAAGCCGAATTGACTGCATTTTTCGGGATTAATTCAGGAGTTACCACAGCTAACTCMGTTGCTGAATCCAAATATAACTCTCAAAATTTTAGGGAGTTTGAAGGTTGTCGTTGGCAACATTGTTAATAATTGACAGCTGTATTATCTTGTGAATGGAAAATAATAACAGTGACAGCCGTTTTACGTATAAATGTAAACAGTTATTTTGAAAAGCGACGATTAAAGATAAAAAGTAAGTAATTTTAGTATTTTTCATTGCCTTCTAAACGAATATTATTATCTATGTTTTAATTTCAGATAGCTGGCAAAAAAAAGCATTCAGAGTGGACTTTAAAGGATGAGTTGGAACTGCTGGAAAAGTGGGAAGCACGTTCCCACGACCTCTGGCGTGCAAACCCTGCGAACCATGAGCGGGTAAAAAAACAGATAATCAGTGGGTAAGCAGCGGGTAAACGTGGGGGTAAACACATAGAGTGTGCCTTAAGCCGCGTGAAGATTCTATCCTCACACGTACGTATACATGTGATSATWCATCTTTGTTGCGCTCATTCAGCAGTGTCATATAAAAAAGTACATCTGTCCTGCTCTGATATCCCCAATCGACGGCTGCTGCAGGGTTGCATTTTAAACAGCTGATGCAGGGTTGCATTTTTTAATTTCTATTTTAAAAATTTCTTAAAATTTAAAACTAAACTTTTTAATTTTTTAAATTTTTATTTTATTATTTTCAATAAATATTTACATAAAATTTACATAATTTAAAAAAATAATTTCATCTGAAAAAAAATTAATTAAAGAAAAGAGTTATTAAAACCTGAAAATAAAAGAGTTGAAAAATATTGTAAAAGACAAATGCTGAAAATAAAAGAGTTGGAAAATATTGTGAAATACAAAGACCGGAAAATAAAAAAAAGGTTATTAAAACCTCAAAATAAAAGAGTGGAAAAATATTGTAAAAGACAAATACCTGAAAATAAAAGAGTTGAAAAATATTGTAAAATACAAATACCTGAAAATAAAATAAAGGTTATTAAAACCTGAAAGTAAAAGAGTCCAAAAATATTGTGAAAGATAAATACCTGAAAGAATATTATAATAAAATAGAGATGAAATTAAACATTATTTTAAGAAAAACATTAATTATTTAACTTAAAAGACACACGTTCTTTTGAAAATAATTTTAACACTGTACAGGCCGCTTTAAACACACTTTTTTTATAATTTTATCACCGTGTAGACAACGAAAGAACATAATACAATACGAATATTTGTTATATAGTTATTTTTATAAATTAAATTATTAGGACCAACCGCACTGGTCATTCAATTAAATAGCTACTTAGTATATGTACAATAATATATGTATAAAATGTAACAAAAAACTCACAAATAAAAATTGTTCTGCTTCTACTGCTTGAAGACCTATTGATGATTTCTAAAGAGAGAAATAGGAATTAATTAAATATATTTATAATTATTTCAAAATGTTGCTTACCTTTTTTGATAAAATATGTACTTTAATTTAATGCTGCAATGGCATAAAGTAATTAATTTAAAATATATTTAAAATATGGAAATTTGTTCACTTACCTTTCTTCTTCCCGCTAGAATTGCAAATGGCTCGCAATTATCCTTCGTTTTTTATTACACTTTTTGGGATTATCTTTTGGCACTATTGATAATTATGTTTTCTCCTTCTCACTCATTCAAGTAAATTAAGAAATGAAAGAAACTTTTTATCATCGCATTTAGGTAAACAAAAAATAACCCGAAAATATGCGTTGGTGTTAGTGCATAGAGAAAAAATGTGTAGTAGTATTGAAATATTTCACACAAGAGGGTAGGTGGTTGGCAGAGAAGCGAAATGCTCATATACACGTATACAATGAGATTTCGCAGGAAATGGCACAAAACTACACCGTCGACGAAATTCACTGCAAGGTGAAAAACATGGCAAAGAAATACAGGTGAGTTTTTTCAATAATTATATTTCTTCTTTTAACACATTAATAACTCTACTTTCAGAAAACCAAAATTGGCCCTTCTGTGGTAATCCCTCGCCTTGGAGGCATTATAAAGCTGTGCATCGCATAGGAGGGTGTACTGCCGTTAATTCGGCTTTGTACATAGAGACAAATTCCGAGGTAAAAAACTAATTTATTTTATTTATATAAATACATGCATTTACAAAGCTCATTTTTTTTAGAACTCAACATTAACCCAATTGTTGTCGCCGTCCGACCCCTCATTAGCACCTCCGTTGCCATCGCCATCATGTCCACCATCGTTGCCATCACCATCACCTTCATCTGCAACAAGAAAACGTAATTTTAGCGTTGAGTTGTTAAAGGTTTTAAATAAAAAAACTGACATATTGGAGGGGGTTGTGTATGAAACAAAGCACGTCTGAGAGGAAATAATTCAGACTGTTCGACAGCACAATAATTTGTCCGAAAGATTTTTAACCCTTATGGAGAAAATCGCAGAGGAACTTTAAGTTTAAAACCATTATTTAATGAAATATTTTGTTATTTTCTAGTCATAAAACATTATATAATGTAACAAAAAATGAATTTAAATAAAAAAATTATCTCTTTAAAAAATGGATGTTTGTAATTCTGTGTACTAATATTTGTTTTCTGCTACTCTATACATCTATACTCACGAAAACTCAGTGTTAAGTATTTCTAATAGCCGATGTTGTTACTCAGCTCTTGTAGTGTGATGTGGTTGAATTTCTGTATTTATTTCTGCAGCATCTTGGATCCACGAAGAAGGAATTTTACCAAATTGTGCAAAATACAGTATGCATGTATAATAAAGTTAACATTTTTTGGAGCTACCGGTAAACTTATGCCAATTTTTCTAAATGGGGCTTTTAACGATAGTTAAATATTTCTTTCTAACACTGGTTGATTGGGTGAGTATGGAAAAGGATTCATCATGTAACTCGACAATCGAATGGCTGAATCGCCAATAAGTAATACGGGGACGTTAACATATCCAATCATTTTGACGCTCTGAGCAAAAAATATCAGCTGTTTTATACAATTTCTTTAAGGAACTACCTTCAACAATGTAAGAATAGTTATTTCTTCCATTGACCCAACATATATATATATATGTAAATTTTGATCTATAAAATAGTGAAAGGATTTATATAAATATTTCCAATAAGTATATGAAATTTACCTATAGTTGCAACTTGCCGGCAGAACAACCGAATAGCACCCTTTATAATTGTAATAATCGATCACATCTTCCATTTTCGGCTAATATTTTGAAACAGTTTTAATAGTAATGTATTTATACTTTTGTTTAACAAATTGTGGTTTTGCACCATCTGTGCGGCTAACGTGCGTGTGCGGCAATGCTTGTCTTTTATCCATTTTTGCTTCATCAAATTCAAAATGTTCTAAAATGCCAATCAGCTGTTCGCTAACTCGCATCGCCGATGTCTGTCACCTATAAATTTGGAGTCGTCTGTCAAGGCTATTAGATACTTTAAGTCACACTATAATTCTAAACAGTATAATATCAATGCGTTGGTACCTGTAGTATGCAATGAAAATAGAATACTTATTTACACACATATATGTATGTAAGTGCACTAAGCATCAACACATATACATACACATGTGCATAGTTAAGAGATTAGAATTAAGAAATGTATCGAGGAAAGAGATTTTAATAAAGAAGATCAGAGTCAAACGTGATCTCTCACGGTACAGAAGATTTTGAAGACTGTTTTTCTGTACACGACCATCAACACGAATTATTCCTTTGGAATCCTATGCATAAAAGTGCTGTGTTTCTTTCTGCATATCCTACATATGAAATTATGGGAAATTAAAGGCAACTGAAACAATAACCATTGTTTTTTATTGTGGTTATTTGGGTCTCAACATTCATTTGCAAAACTTTGGATATTCTCGAATGGAATGTTGTGTTATACATAATTTATTACTTTCAATGTCTTGAGGTTTTTTAAAAAGTTGTTATCTCTAACTGGGTGTTCACTAGCGTGYGAAAGATTCACGGTCAAAGTTCCGGAAACATTAGCATCAAATGTGCTGAATTTATGGTATTTTCCTTTTCTATAGGATCCAATGTCGGATTGGGTCACTCGAATGGGGCCAGTTAGATTTCCTACTGTTTCTAAAGATTTATATCTATGGGTGAGAAACATGTCGAAACTTTTCCAGGATGGTATTTCCGACTGCCTACCTCGTAACGTTACATTCGACCACAACATGTGCGAGATGTGATACATACCGAGGGTTGAAGCGGGAAGCGAGATGCATTTCCAGAAAGAAAAAAGTGAGGCCAAAATGCGTGAGGATGGAGGGCTTGACAAGCTGGCTGACAAGGGTAATGCTCGAAATATCTACGATAAGATGCGGTGACTAACAAAAGGTTTCAATACTGGAGCATACTCTTATAGAACCTCCAGAGGTGATCTGGTATCAGATGCTCACAGCATACTAAAATTGTAGAGGGAACACTTCTCCAGCCTGCTGTATGGCAGTGAAAGCATAAAGCTAGGAGAAGGCGAAACCGATTCCCCAAATGATGACAATGGAGCAGATGTTCCATTTCCTGATCATGAAGACGAAAGCACGCCTAAAGACTAGAATTTAAGTGTGCTGAACCCAATCCACAAAAAGGGAGACCCCACAATCGGCGCCAACTACCGTGGGATAAGTCTCCTAAATATTGGTCCTATAATAATGTTCTATCGAGCGTATTGTGTGAAAAATTAAACTGATTGGACATAATCAGTGTGGCTTTAGACCTAGAAAATCAACAAGCGACCAGATATTCACCATTCGCCAAATATTGGAAAAGAACTGTGAAAAGAGAATCGACACACAACATCTCTTCGTCGATTTTAAAGCTCCTTTTGATAACACGAAAAGGAGCTGCCTTTATGCCGCGATGTCTTAGTGTRGTATCTCCGCAAAACTAATACGGCTGTGTGAACTGACGTTGAACAACATTAAAAGCTACGTCATGATCGGGAAGGACCTCTTTGTGCCGTTCGATAGCAAAAAAGAGGTTCCAGATAAAGCGACTCCCTTTCGTGTGACTTCTTCAACCTATTTCTGGAGAAAATTATTCCAGCTGCAGAACTAAACCGAGAAGGTACAATCTTCTATAAGAGTGTACAGCTTCTGGCGTATACTGATGATATTAATATCATTGGCTTTGCAACTGCGCCGTTAGTCTGCTTTCGAGGGCAAGACGAAATATCTCCTGATATCAAACAAACAGTCGGCGCACTCGCGAATAGCCTCCCACGTCACTGTTGAGAGTCATAACTTCGAAGTTGTAGATAATTTCGTCTATCTTCTAACCAGCATTTACAACAACAATGTCTGATGGAAATTCACACACAGAATAACTCTTGCCAACAGGTGCTACTTTGGGCTGAGTAGGCAATTGAAAAGAAAAGTCATGTTTCGACGAACACAAACAAAACTCTATAAGTCACTCATTATTCCTATCCTCATTCGATGGAACTATGAGCTGTGCGAGATATACGACGACATTGACATAGTTCAGCGAATCAGGAGACAGCGGCTGCGCTCTCTGGTCCTGTCGTACGAATGGACGAAAACTCTGAAAGGTTTTAATCGCTCTTCCACTTTCTTGCGTTACTTTCTTGCGTTACTTGGGGTAGGTTGAATAAAATATTCAATTGCGCGTTGTGCTGAACTCGTTTGTTTTCATATTGCGACACCAGGTCTTCCATGTTATGATTTGTTAATGATGAATTTTGAACAACTGATCTTGCTTCTTCTCGGTTCTTTTGAATTAAACGAAACAGTCTTCTACGTTGCTGATCTCGTAATTGTTTACATGTATGGCCGTAAACATGTCTCTAAATATAAGCTAGGTTGCAAAATCTCCGTAAAATGTGTTACAAGGGTGTGGATGAACTGAGAGTCCCATGCCCCTCAAAGTGTATTCTTATGAAACTCGTTCCTTTATTAATGGGGTTCGGGTCTTAAGATCATCAATAGCTTGATTAATTGATCCTAAACTGACTTTTGTGTATTCAACTCCCCGAGTTTTGTGGGGTTCTAGGAACGGCATCGTACGACTTGTTAGCCTTGTCGTATATTGCATTGAGTTCAATTCTTTTTATTTCCAGAGGATAGACAGACTCATCTTCGGGTTGGGCGTTGTAGTGCTTTTCAATATACTTGAATAAATCGGAAATATAAAACTTGAATTTCCTTTCCATTTTCGATAAAAAAAATCCACCTAAGTTTTTAAAAAAGCCGGGTCGTAATAACTAATTAAATTAAAATGAAACAAATAAGAAATTTGAAAAAAAAAATGTGTTTATTTAAATTTGAATTTTATTAAACGAATTCCAATATTCTGTCGAATTCCCAGACAAGATCCGGTTCCGTTTATATAGGGTTAATTAGCAATGATTTATTTTTATTTTTTGATATATTTGTATATTTAGTAGTGAGCAATATTTAATGTGTAAAATTCCCATGAAGGAAAAATTTCCTAATGTGTCTTTTGAAATTTTTCCTACAGGTCCCTCTTTTTCTTGCTCACACTGCACTAGCAGTGAACATTAGTATGTTGTTAGTTCAACGGGTAGTGCAATTAAACATATGCGTGTAGGTACCAGAGGGTGCCAAAAGCAACGATACTGAGCTTTCAAAAAATATATTGTGAGCGTAATATGGCAATAACAAATTTCGCAAATACTTTCGTCTTAATACCGGTTAAGCAAAATATTTACTTTAATTATGATATTATTTTTGTTTATGTTTTATAATGCCGATTTATTCCGACTTGCACTAATAAATTTATTTTAATTTTAATTGTGTACTTACAATTTTTCCACGTATATGTTTGCTTGAGTATTTTTGTAAATTTAAAGGTGGTTGATTGGATGGGTGATTTTGTTGATTCATTGGATGGATTTATTTTATCAGGAACTCGATCCGGCTCGAAAAACCAAAATTACGGGGTACTCGACGTTGTGTTTTCCCGTGTGCTGAATAAAATAAAACAAGTGTATTATATAATATGGGCGGGTTAGTATATACAATTACTATGTGGGCTTAAACAATTATGTTCAAATTAAGAGTTAAGTATTTATAAGTATTTTTCCCGCTTTAATGAGCTGATGCAGCTACTGCTGTTGTTGCAACTGCTGATGTTGTTGTTGCTGAATAATTTTGCGCCTACTTGTCCGCTGCGTTGATATTCTTTATTGTGTGTTTCGGTTTTGGGTTCTCTGTCGATTATGTTGGCGCTATTGAATGTTTTTTGCATTGTTCTTTAATTCGAATTTAGACTAGTTAGGAATTTAGACTAGTTTAATGCAGGGATGACTTCATTTGATGTGAACAACTAATTTGTTTGCATTAGTACTGGTGCAATGCATCTCGAGCTTGCTGGAGGCCTTTCTTGAACTGCTTTCAAACGCTTTACCATCAGAAGAGGATGTTGCCAGCACATTTTGTTTACCAATAGCATTTCTTCGAGGGGAGCAACAATTACCCTAGGAGAACTGCATTGGCGATAAAATAGTGTCACCAGATCATCACAGATTCCCAAAACAACTTGACATACACCCCTTACATGGGTAGCATCTGAGAGCCTGATATAAAACGAATCAAATGTCATCTTAAGCGCGCCTTAAACACTTTGGTTCTAACTTACGAAGAATTTGAAACAATACTAACTTAAGCTGATCCGGTGTGAACTCGGGTCTTTTTTGCTATAGTCCTACAAATGTTACCTACTTTGATTGCGAGGCGAGTATTTTGTCCGTCGGCAAATCCGTTTAAAATAGTGTGCAGATAAATAGCATCATTGTCATACTCGTACATGAAGGCAACCCCCCACTAAATAGAAACTTGGCCGTGAGACTGATGGTCAAGTTTGGGTTATAAAATTAAAGATATCCAAAAGAGATCTGTTGAGACCAGTGATCAAACTATCGTTACTACTAACAAAAGGGGACACATTTTTTTTTATAGAAAAAGAGAGATTCTCTGTGAATTTCAACTATAGGTCTGGGGTCCCTATATTCGATATTTTGGGACTTAAAAAGTTTTGATTGGATTTTAACAATTTTTGATCAATAGGTGGCCTACTTGAACTATTTGTGCTAAGTTTTATCTGCTTATATTAATTGTTTCTTGATTTGTATCCTGGAAAGTTAAATAACTAAATGGAATTTTAAATTGTGTTACAAGTAAGATAAGATAAGAAGTAAGATAAGAATCTCAGTTGAATTTCATATATTGTTTACCATATATATATATATATATATATATATATACGAATATATTTGTATATAATTTTGTACCATATATTATATATAATTTGGTTGAAACTAATGAAGCAGGTCTCGTGATATGTGATTTTATCTAAAAGTGGACAGTGCCACGCCCGTCGTTTTAATTTAAGAACGGCTCATATAAATCCCTCTCTTAACATCTTGGGGTTAAATTCAATTTTAGTTAGTTAGTTAGTGGGTAAAGGTTCTTATGGAGTTTGTCCGTATGGAATTTGGAAATTGGATTTCGGAGGGTCCACTCAATTTACAGCTTGCACAGACAGTCACTCGGAATTCAACTCGTCTCGTCATCCTTTTATCTATCTCGATAAGTTTTGGGTGTTGCAAACGAATAAAACTAGTATAATCTGTTGCAACATATTGTAAGGGTATCGACATATTCTGTACTGTATATGGGAGGTAGGCTGTAGTCCGATTTTGCGCTGTGAGATAAGAATCTCGGTAGAATGTCATGTACCGAATTTGGTTGAATCGATCAAGTAGGTCCCAAGATATATGATTCTACCTTAAGTAGGTGTTGCTATTCCCATCGTCATTTTTGGACATTGGCTCTTACAAAGCCCTCTCAGCGATTAGATTCAATATATCTTGCATAATCATTTATTGATTTATCACGCTTTTAGTAATTTTTTAACGATACTGTTATATGGAGATTGTAAGGGGTTATCGTCCGATTCAATCCCTTTTACAGTGTAGGTAAGGTGCTTATAGAAATTGTTCTGAGTAAATTTGAATATTGCGACTTCATACGCAGATATATTTGTATGCATTAAGCCTCTTAGAGGGCGAGACTATAACCACTTATCCAAAATTTGTAGACGGCATGTGCTGCTTGCTTATGCAATTCCCTAAGTTGTAGGTGAATGGCATTTTGTGTGTGTGCCAGCGGTCCGATGAAGCCCATCTACGAACCTATTCTCTCTTTTTTACAATATCCCAATTTTTACTCTAATTACAGCTTGGACAGAGAGACAGACGGACAGACGGACGGTCAGACAGTTACTCGGAATTAACTCGTTTCGCCATTCTAAGTATTTATATCTACAGTGTACTCGCGAAAACTCGAACATTCGGAAACATTTATAGCTCTATCCAAATATTCAGAATTTATAGAATCGTAAAAAAGAAAATGAAATTTAGTATGTGTTAACAATATACTATCGGGTCCTGGAAAACGTAAAACATCCCATGTTTTAGAACTTTCGAAAATGGAAAAGGTACTATACAAATAGTTTTACGGATTGATTTTAAAGCAAAAAGCAAATTAGTTTCATGCCAAGTTAAGCAAGGACATGTTTTTGCCAGCGATGGATGGCTTCGAAATTAAAAAAAACGTCATGAAACAAACCTTATTTCAATCTCAGGGGAAAATTTTGGGTTTCATTTTTCTTTTGTAACACTACACTACAAACTGAATACCCTCTAACAATTATATTCTTTAACTAGGCAAAATTATATTTGAAAGGGATCGGATTATCTCAAAAGACTTTACTTCTTCTTGACAACGCACCTTCGCATCCAAACGAAGAAGAATTAAAGTCTGAAGATGATTCACTTGCAGCGATGTTCTTGCCCCCGAATGTCACTTCTTTGATTCAACCAATGGATCAAAACGTAATAAGAACCGATGAATGCGATTTGGTCGAATCAATGAAAAAAAATGTAAGAAAGCAATTCTGAAGATGAATTTTAGGCGGAGTGTGAAAATGAATCATTGTTCGAAAAGGCCGTACTGAATTCGGCCGAAAATAAAAAACGTCAAACATGTTCCTTGTATTATTTATGAAAATAAAAATGTTTGAATAAACTAGTCATAAATCATTAAACTACAGAATTCTAATGTGGAAAAATAGAACTGTTGTAAGAAAAGAACTGATAAACGAATAAATAAATCAAAATAGACTCGAAGAATTCGTTAACTCCAACACGCATGGTTTTGATTGGTTCTAGTTCTCGCGAGTGCTTGTACATATATTTTCACCCCTATTCTACTTGACAAATTCAACATATTTCTAATTTGTCAAAATTTGAAATTTATCAAGCATTTGGTATTCTGTGTCTGAAATATAAAATGCCTTAAGAGGTCCAACTTGGTCGGCAGCCAAGTGGAAGCGTAAATGCTTGTGTATGTTTCACATCGTTAAAATATGTTTCCATAGTCCTTAATGCATTGGAAACATCACTTGCGATCGCGAGCGCGCAAACTTAAGGCACATGCGCAAGCGACTGGTGAAGGCCCTCCGATGAAAGGAATAACGGAGTTCGAGGAGCAAGCCATTACAACCTTTGGGGCGGTGGATGGATTGCCGGGTGTTGGGACTTTGGGTCAGCAGGTAATATTTTAATTTAATATTTGTCGGACTATATATCTTATTATTACATGAGGCAATAATTGGTCCGTTTTATACTTACAGGTTTTGCCGCCGTTGTATTTAAATACAGAACCAGTCTTCGCTCAAGCTCCAGCTTCCTCCCCAACCGTCACATCGCGTGCTCCAGCTTTTCCTGCCCTCTCAATCATTTCTTTTTTCCTCACTATCACCTCCAGATTTGTCCTCTTCTTCCTTATCTGGTCCCATCTTACCTTCTCCTTTGCCATCGCCTACTTACATCCCTTCTGAAGGTAAATTAACTGTAGCGAAGATGCTTGGAGCAGTGCTAAAATAATGGAGCACCATGAAATGCGAGAGGAGGAGGCCATTGCTCTACAAAATAAAATTGTAGAGCAAAATGTGCAGATGACAGGGGTGGCCATTGCTCTACAAAAGAAAATTGTAGAACAAAACGAGCAGATGACGTGGGTTCTGAACCAAATGTCACAAGCACTAACCTCGATGTCAGAGATTATGGTTAAATTGTGCGAAAAATTAAATAAATAATAATAAAAATAAAATATACTGAATTATTTAAACATACGTATTGTATTGTGTGCAAATTGTAATAAATAATAATAATACTAAAATATAATTAATTATTTAAACAAATGTAGATATCTTTTTATTCATACTTAGAGAAAGTAAAATGTACAAAGGCAGTAAGTAACTTACATATCTTAATATATAAAAATCCAGTGTCCGTGTGTATGTCTGGAATGAACTCAAAAACGAGTCAACTGATATTCATGAAAGTTGGCATATACATACATGTAATTTGGTCCAACTTAGATGATAGGATAGCTTACATCTCAATTTATACTCGCAATATTATATTATTGCAAACTATTCGTATTGTTTGTTAACTCAAAAAGGTTCTAACAGATGGCGCTATGTTAAAAATACAAACGTTTTATATAAGCTACAATTTTATCGTCTCCACAATTAATAATTAACACTTCTAATTTACAGTTACATAAATACATCCAAATATATAATCTACAAAATCAGAGAACAGTGAAATTCATTCACATAAAATTAAATTAAAAGTTTATAATTTTCAGCTGTCACTAAAACAACAC